GATCAAATACTGGGACATGCCATGTCTTAATCCAGTTGACACATCAAATTAACTCTTCTACGTTTGAGGCTGTGATGTACAAGCCCTCGCCTGCTGGATATAGATATAAGACTCCAAATCAGGCCTCCCCCTTCTTTCCCACTATGCACCCAGGGATCCCTTGGTGCTTGTGAGCTTCACATGGGGAGGAGTCACATTTGCCTCTTATGCTTCTCGATGGCTGACAGTGATCAATCAGCCAGGGTGGCCAGGATCAATACTGGTAAGAGGGTAAACCTAATGCTCTCATGGGTCAAGTCTCCAGAATGCTGCCCTGGGAGCAGGAAGGTAAGGTGTTGCTGCCCATGGATGGCAGGGCACCAGAGTGCTGTTTGTGAGTGAAGTAGGTGGCTAGTGGACAAGACAGTGACTTCCTCTCTGTGGCAGCTAGAGGGAGGGGATATACCTGCTGAGTTGGTGAAGGAGTCCTCTAAGGTGGAAGGCAGAGATTGGGTGCTGATGAGTCTGATCTCGCTGCTGCTGTGTGTATGAAAACGCCTCCATGGATGGTGCCTTCTTCACCAACCATACACAATCTAGTGGGCCTGACCTTTAGAACTGAGTCCCAATATTCCAGCTCTCCAAGTCCTGGTTCCATCACGCAGCCAATCCCAGGGTGCAAGCAGCTCCAAGAGGACTGCAAATCAGAATGTCCCCAGCTCAGCCACTGTGCAGGCTCAGAACCAAGGGTCCTTCTTCCTCTCCAGGGACCAAATTCTTCTAAAGCAGGCAGACAGTTTTAAAAAGCTACTTACTATACAAAAAAGTTATCATACCCTTCTCCCAGGACACTGAGGCCTGCTTACTGACCCTTCATTTGCAAACACATGAGGGTGACTCAACAGATTCTTCTAAAACAAAGAAGACCAACGTTGAGGGTTTTGTTGTTGTTGTTGTTGTTGTTTGCTTCTGTCTACACCCTAAAATACCTGGCAAATTATCTTGCTGAGGATTAAAAACATAAGTTTAAACTCTGATAGGGCATTCTACCGCAAAACCCATGATCGATTTCATTGAGTACTCCCCGTAACTTTAAAAGACTTTATTATCTCCCTTTGGTAGAAGTGACATTTGATGTTAGAGGCCTGGATCGGAATTCAAGTCTTCCATCTGCAAGCCCAGGGCTATTCCAGTGCCTTGGGCTGTTTCTTAAATAAGACCAAACTGTCCATCTCCCCATTACCAAGCCCCTTCCAACTTTTCCTTTCAAATGGATAAAGCATTTCTGATGGTTTTTGACAGCTTCTTATTCCAATGACCTCTAAAAGCATGAAAAGCATTCTTTCTTCTAAACTGCCATCTACCCTACTTGTTGTTTGGCTTGTTGCATCTGCCTGCTTTGCTCTGCTCTGAGTTGATGGTGTCTATGGTGAGGTCTCCAGATAAAGCAAGAATAGCCCTACCAATGATGTTTGAAGCTGTGGCTGCTTTATGATGATGTGGGTTTTCACATATGGGTCTTGGTTTAGGTTCTTCCAAAAGCAAATTCCAAGACAAGCAATTTTAGTGCAGGTGGTTTATTTGGAGCTGACCCAAGGAAGTAGAGTAAGGGAGTGGGGAAGTATAATAGGGAAGGGAGAAAAGCCAATGAGTGGTTCATTAATAAGAGATACCTCTGTGGGGAACTGGGGCTCAATCCTGATGGGAACCCACTGAGAGACTATGTGAGACACACCTCAGAAGTGTCTCGCAGAGAGGTGAGGAAGCTGGGGATTTAACCATGAATTCTGGTTCTCCAGTAGTTGAGGTTGTTTCTGAGATTATCACCTTTGAGGCACTTCTGGCCTGCCCATGCATGTGGTCAGCATGCGCCAGTGGCCAGATGAAGCTGTCAGGCAGAAGGAGGGAGGTATGTGAGATTAGAAGCCACTAGAGAACTCTTGGTCTGAGGGATCCGAGTCAGGCATAAATAGTATCTCCTGCAGGTCATGTCAGAGCTACCATTTCTCCCAAATCCTTAAATTGTGTTAATACCGTAATGATCCATTGGACCCAATTTTAGTTAATTTTTAAAAGCATTTCTCGCAATATTTTTTGACTTCTTTCTTTCTTAGAGAGGTTTCAAAAAGTATGACTTTAAAGTTTACTTAATTTTTAAAAGACAGAAAAAAATTCATTTGAACTTATAATTATGATATTGAATGCCTTAATAAATGTAAGATACATTATGAGATTTTAATGATCTTATTCTTTCCTGTATCTTGAAACATTTAGTTGAACATCTTTGAAAAATTATGACAGTAAAGGAAATCTGACATGGTCGACTCTATCTTGCTTCTAACATCCAAGCTGTCCTTGGTCATCTCTGGAAGGTCAACTTTGGAAGGAATTTAGTTTATAGCTTAAAGTTAAAGCAAGGATGATGGCCCTTCTCAAAACTAAATCACCTTTGGAAAACTAATGAAAGGCCACAAGGTTAGGATTATAAGAGGGCCCTGGATTCTGCTAAAATGTAGGCACAGTTAAATGATAACCAGCCACTGTGCTGGAGGTCAGAAAATCTGTAACTTCTCCAATTGCTCCTATAGATAACATCACTATTGCAGAACATAAGATCAGCCTTTTGATTTTTTTTTCAAGCTTTTGCATTCTGGTAACTGACAGACCCCACTGGGACTCATGACTCATGACTCAGCTGGTCCTGTGGACCCCCATCTGGAGGCAGACTCAGCAAATGAGGACCATTTTCTACACCACTATGATGGACCAATCGGCACCACCCATTCACTAGTCCCCTGCCCACTAAACTATCCTTGAAAAATCCTATTCTCCAAGTCTTTGGGGAGACTGATTTGAGTAGTAACTTCATCTCCTGTGTGGCTGGCCTCACAATATAACAATATAATGTCAATTATATAACAGTATCTGTCAATTATATTGTTTCTTTAATACAATACCATGGTCTCAGTGAACTGGTTTTGTTTTTGGAGTGGGCAGGAAGAACCATGGGTGATTATGTACTTATTTTGTCAACCTAGGAATCATTTCATCATTACTTATCAATTAATTCCAAAATGCTGAAAAAAGACTAAAATAAAAGCACTGAAGAATGATAGAATCATCTAGAAGGATGATGCAATATAGTGTAATAAATAATCAGAATTTCATCATCCTTCAGTTTTCTTGCTGCATTGCTTACAATGTTACATTATCTTTAAGAACATATAAGACTCGGGATACTATCTTTGTCATCTGCTTTTAGGTTTTATTAAAAAGTTCAGAAATATGGAGTTTTCACTTTTGTCCTATTATGACAGAGAGAAAAGCTGATAGGGAAGAGGTTATATAATTATTAGATAAACAGAAGATAAATTCAAAGAGACAGTAGAGTTCAGACAAATGCTGGTGAAATTGATTATGTGAGACATAACCTAGCCCATGAGTCTTCAGATGACAATAGCCTAGAGGATTTTTCTCAAACTCGAGAGTTAATGAATTTAAAAAATGTATATTTTTTCAGAAGTTTCAAGGGTACATGTGCATGTTACAAAGGTGTATTGCATGGTGCTGAAGTTTGGAGTACAATTGAACCCATCACCCAGATTGAGCATAGTTCCCAATTGGTTGTTTTCAACCGTTGGCTCCCTCCCAACCTCCCCACTTTTGTATTTCCCTGTGTCTATTGTTCCTGTCTTTATGTCCATGTGTAACCAAGGTTTAGCTCCCACTTATAAATAAGTGAGAACATGCAGTATTTGCTTTTCTGTTTCTGCATTAGTTTGCTTAGGATAATGGCCTCCAGCTGCATCTATGTTGTTGCGAAGGACATGATTTCATTAATTTTTATGTCTGAATAGTATTCCACAGTGTATATATGCCATATTTTCTTTAGTCAATTCACCACTAATGGGCACCTGAGTTGATTCTATTTTTTTGCTATTGTGAATAGTGCTGTGATGAACATATGGATACATGTTTCTGTTTGGTAGAAGGACTTATTTTCCTTTGAGTATATATCCTGTAGTGTGATTGCCAGGTAGAATGGTAGTTATGTTTTTAGTTCTTTGAGAAATCTCTACCCTGTTCTTCATGGTGGCTGACTGAATTTACATTCCCACCAACTGTGTAGAAGCATTCCTTTTTCTCCATAGCCCTGTGAATATTTGTTATTTTTTGACTTTTTAATAAAAGCCAAGGAACATATTTTTAAAGATAAAAAGGAAATATAGTATTTCATCCAGTCACTCAACATGATAAACTTAATTACACAATATTTTAGGAAAAATCATGGGTCTTCCAATTTTGCTAAAAAGATATATGGTAATACTCTTTAGTTTTTTAGGTTTTTGTGGAAAATTTACTTGAATGGACAAATGCTGTAGACGGGTGTGTACATAAAGGAGAAATAGTATAGAAAGAAAAATATTAATTAAATTGAAGATTAAAAATTGTGTTTATAGACCTAAAAAAGAAAAAATAAAAATATTTTGCAATTATGAGGCAAAGAAGATGAGCATTTTCTCTTCAACAAAGTTATGAGCCACTAAATCTTTCAAAAGTATTGTGTTTTGATGATTCAAGTACAAACAGAAGAACCATAAGGAATAAGTTAGAACTAATTAGAGATACACTTGGAATCTGGAATAGGTATTGATAAGATGAATGTGTTCCAGGTTCATGAGACTGGATGAATGAATTATTTTAGTCAAAGTTTGCTTTCTATTTCAGGTATGCTATCTTTTTTATTATTATTATTTTATTTTTTATAGGTATAGAAGTCTCACTATGTTACACAGGCTAGTCGTTTTTATTGCATTTTAGGTTTTGGGGTACATGTGAAGAACATGCAAGATTGTTGCATAGGTACACACATGGCAGTGTGATTTGCTGCCTTCCTCCCCTTCACCTTTATCTGGCATTTCTCCCCATGCTATCTCTCTCCAACTCCCCACCACCCGCTGTCCCTCCCCTATTTCCCCCCAACAGACCCCAGTGATGCTCCCCTCCCTGTGTCCCTGTGTTCTTATTGTTCAACACTCGCCTATGAGTGAGAACATGTGGTGTTTGATTTTCTGTTCTTGTATCAGTTTGCTGAGAATGATGGTTTCCAGGTTCATCTGTGTCCCTACAAAGGACACAAACTCATCATTTTTTATGGCTGCATAATATTCCATGGTGTATATGTGCCACATTTTCCCTGTCCAGTCTATTACCAATGGGCATTTGGGTTGGTTCCAGGTCTTTGCTATTGTAAACAGTGCTGCAATGAACATTCGTGTGCATGTGTCCTTATAGTAGAATGATTTATAATCCTTTGGATATATACCCAGTAATGGGATTGCTGGGTCAAATGGAATTTTTATTTCTAGGTCCTTGAGGAATCGCCACACTGTCTTCCACAATGGTTGAACTAATTTATACTCCCACCAACAGTGTAAACCCAGGCTAGTCTTAAACTCCTGGCCTCAGGTGATCCTCTTGCCTCAGCCTCCCAAAGTGCTGAGATTACAGGTGTGAGCTGCCACTGTGCCCAGCCTCAGGTATACATCTTCAAAAGTAGGAAAATGAATAAAAATTTGGGTTTATTATATTTAAATTCTTCTTAATATTTCTAACAAAGCTAGTTTTCATTGTCTGTGGTAATCAGCCTCCAAGATGGTGCCAAATGATCCTAGCCTCCTGGTATTCACACCTTGTGCAGTCTCCTTCTATATTGTACCAGGGTTGGTCAGTGTGACCGGTACTATATGGCAGAAGTAATGAGCCTTGGTATGAATGTTTGTCTCCTTCAGGACTCATATTAAAATTTAACCACCATGGAAACAGTATGAAGAGTTTAACTTTAAGCAGTGATTAGGCCATTAGGGCTCTCCCCTCATAGGGATGTCTCTACAAAATAAAAAACTGGGTGTGGTGGCATACACCTGTGGTCCCAATTATGATACTGTGTATTTTCATAACTATGATATTTCATAACTATGTAGTTATGAAAGGGTGAGTTTGTCTCCCTCTAATCTTGCCCATTCTATTTCCACCATGGGATGACATTCCAGAAGGTTCCCACTCGTTGCCAGCCCATTGATCTTGGACTTCACAGCCTCTAGAGCTGTAAGCCAATAAATTTCTGCTCATTTTATATGATCCAATCTCAGGTACTCGTCACAGAGCAAAAACGGGCAAAGACATGATGGTACACATTCTTGAGATTAGGTTGTAAAAGACAGGTTGGCTCACTCTATCACCACTCCCGCCAGTCAGGGAGCTAGCTATCCTGTTGTGAGACACATGTGGAGAGGAATGGAGGCCTCCTAATGACCATGTGAGTGAGCTTGGAAGAAGATCCTCCAGCCCTAGATGACTGTAATCCTGGCTGACAGTTTGGGTGCAACCAGCACTGGCTACATACTTTTAGGCTGTGATCCAGTGCAAAATAAAAATGGGCACTCTTTTTTTCAAAAATTACTGAAAAAATCAAGACAGCAACAGCAGAGTATTAAGCCAAGTATGGAGCCTTTTGTGATTATACAGTTTACTGCCTATGAAGCTGGCCCTGACTGCAACCTCATGAGGAACTCCAAGCCAGAACCACCAAACTAAGCCACTCCAAGATTCTTGCCACAGATGCCATGAGATGAGAAATGTTTGCTGTTTTAAGCTGCTAAGTTTTGGGAGTAATTTGTTGTGTAGTAATAGGTAACTAATATACTATCCCTTTATTCCTACTTCTATAAATTATTTGTAAAAGGATTTAAAAATACCCATATGGTGAGATGAATTTTAAAACTGTTCTTAGTAAGAAACTTTCTAATCACACAGATCACTAGGGGCACATGTGATTTATCTACAAGAAAAAAAAATGTCAAGAAAGATGGAATTTTACCTCCCATTTTCTCCCAGGTCATACTTAAGAAATTGATTTTCAGTTTGTTCTTAGGTATTGTGACTGTAGACAGAACCTCCTTTCAAAGTGGTGAATTCCATTTGTCTCCTAGCCTTTTACAAGACCCTAATTCTACTCTTTACATATAGTTTCCTATTAGCAAAGATGAAAATGAAAAGAGAACGGCTATACTAGAGACAGTCATTTTGAAGAGAAAGAGACTATGAAACCTTGATGCACCCTCTCTTTGTACTGTGAAAGTTGTCAGAATCAAAATGGAATCACTAATGTTAAGAAAACCTGGGCCGGGCGCGGTGGCTCATGCCTATAATCTGAGCACTTTGGGAGGCCAAGGCGGGTGGATCACGAGGTCAAGAGATCGAGACCATCCTGGTCAACATGGTGAAACCCTGTCTCTACTAAAAATACAAAAAGTAGCTGGGCATGGTGGTGTGTGCCTATAGTCCCAGCTACTCGGGAGGCTGAGACAGGAGAATTGCTTGAACCTGGGAGGCAGAGGTTGCGGTGAGCCGAGATCGCGCCACTGCACTCCAGCCTGGGTAACAAGAGTGAAACTCCGTCTCAAAAAAAAAAAAAAAAAAAAGAAGGAAATCTCTGACAAATAGAACCGAGGGAGGCCATGAGGAGTGAGTTTTTATATTTGTATGTCTGATCATAGAAGCTATAATAAAAGACTATAAAAACCACAACCTTGTATAAAGTCCCTATTTTTGTAAGGACATCTTTCCAGGAAGTGTTTAACCTTGAAATGTTGTTATTTTTGTTACTGATCTTTATAGCCAAAGATAATCATTTCAGATCAATTATGTAATAAAAAAATTTAAAAAAATACTCAGATGGTAAATGATGATAACTATTTTCCCTGGGCTACTAAGGGTTAAAGGAATAAAAGTGATTTAGTTATTCACAAATGAAGTTTCATATTCTCTCCCACCTCAATGCCTTTGCATATGCTGTTTGCTATGCCTAGAATACTCTGCCCCTCACGCTTTTTCCGCTTAAATCAGACAGCCTTCAGGTCTTGACCTAAACATCACTTTGGCAGGACACAGTGCTCATGCCTGTAATCCCAGCACTGTGGGAGGCTGAGGCGGGAGGATTGCTTGAGCCCAGGAGCTCAAGACCAGCCAGGGCAACACAGGGATATCCTGTCTCTACAAAATAAAAAGTTAGCTGGGTGTGGCGGCATACACCTGTGGTCCCAACTACTTGGTGGGCTGAGGTGGGAAGATTACTTGAGCCCAGGAAGTTGGGGCTTCGGTGAGCCATGATTGTGCCACTGCAGTCCAGCCTGGGCAACAGAGTGAGATCCCCACTTTAAAAAAATGCCCTTCAAAACATCATTTTCTGAGGAAAGTTATTACTGACTCTCTAGACTGAGTTACTTACCTTTTAAAATGAAGTCCCCAAACACCCTTGCCTCCCTGCAGCACTGTGGACACTTGTAATTAGTGAATTAATTGTTGAAAATTAGTTGCTTAATATCTGTCTTCCCACTAGACTGTAAGTTCCTTGAGATCATTTGCCTTTTGTCTTTGTTCACACTGCATACTTAGCCCTGGTACCGTGCTTGGCACACAGTGGGATGCAGTAAAACTTGTCTGATTGACTAGTTTGCCTCTATGCCAATGGAGTAGGACCAAATGATAATGATTTATGATGCGTATTAAACCACAGGCTGAATGAAGTCGTTGCAGTAATACTTTCTTTGGAGCATCATCATGGTGGTTCTGGTCCTGAATACAAGGGAAATGCCTCTTCCCAACTGGGTTCCTGCATAAGCAACACAGGCCATTAAAGCAGGTGAATGGGGGAAATTCATACCCGTGGAAACTGAAGTTAGCCTTTAGCAATGAACAAAATAGCATGCACAAAAGCAACCTGTGCTTCTGACTCTTAGGGGTAAGAGATTTAACCCATTTGTGCTGGACGTTGCAATTTTTGAATTGCAAAATCAGACCTTGGCAATGGCCTTGAGAAGTAGGATGTAAATAACTTCCACATGCTTAGCATTCCAATAATGGAACACTAGACATAAATAGGTTAAGAGGATGCCAAAATTTTGGATGTGAATGCAAAATTTAAGAACTGCCCTTGGTAAAGTTGACCTCTGTGATTAAGCCTCAGTTCCTCATCTATTCAATGGGACCAATAACAACAACCTCATAAGTTGGGCTTGAGGATATGAGATCAAGTAGGGAAAGTGCCTGGCAAAAGTTTAGCTGGATTGGGTTTTGATTCTTATTCTGCTCTTTGTTTCTGTTTATGTGAGTTATTTAACCTCCCATAGTCTCAGTGTGTCATTAGTGAAATGGAGAGAAGAAAGCTCCTACCTTGTAGAGTAAATGTAAGAGTGTATACTACAGCCTTCATGTTTGGGATTTGCTAAGTCCTTGTAGTTACTACTACTATTATTATTAATTTTGAAACCAGGTTACAGAAAAACAGCCAGGTGAAAAGAGAGATTCCTTTCTAGGTGGAAGAAGGAGGGGGAATAAATAGAAACAGAAGAATACAGACAATTGCCAAAAATATTTTCACAAAGATGCGCATTATTCCCACTGACCATAACTGACCACTGGTCTCTTTAGGGGCTTATTTCTTGTCAGCCTTGCACCACATGGCTTGAGCTTCATTCCAGTATGTTCTCAGTTCCTCCCACTTGAAGGTACCTAAGAGAAATACCAGAAGGAAATTTTTGTGGCTATGAAGAGTCTGGGTGTCTGGCACTAAGGCCATTGTCTTAGTCAGCTCAGCCTGACTTAACATAGTCTGGGTGGCTTACAAACAATAGAAATGTATTTATCACAGTTCTGCAGGCTGGAAGTCCAGGACCAGGGTGCTGGCATGGTTGAGTTCTGGAGGGCCAGGTGGCCGACTTCTCTTGGTATCTTCACATGACAGGGAGCAGAGAGGGAAAGCAAGCTCTCTTGTGACTCTTACAAGGGCACTGATCTCATTCATGAGGATTTCACCCTCATGACCTCACCTGATCCCTTTTTTGACTGTATATCATCGTCATCTAATCATAATTACCTCCCAAGGACTCACCTTCTTATGTCATCATGTGGAGCGGGTAGACTTTTAACATATAAATTTCAGGGGAATATATTCAATCCATAAAAGTCATTAATATTTTTGAGTACCAGGGAGCCGGGTCTGCCGAACTAGAGGTAAACCATAACCGAACGCTGTGGCAACTCAATGACATCTCATGATGATGGCGTCTACTTCTAATTGTGACCCAGAATTGTATCCTTTCTTAGTAACATAAACCCTGATTTTTAGCTGTACATATGTGGTCACCTCCAATTAGGATTACATTTTTTAAAGCCCTTCTTTGCTGAATGTGGTCGTATGACTAAATTAGCCAATGAGACAAAATGAAATGTGACTTCTGGGAGGTGTACTTAAAAAGAGGAGCATGGTCTTCTTTCCTCTTTTTCCTTCCTGCTGGCTGGAAAACAGATGTGATGGCTGGGCTCAAGCAGCCATCTTGTACCACAAAGAAATAATAGAAGGATCCTGGGTTGGAGGAAACTGCCTGAAACTTTGAATGGAGTTTGTTTACCAAAGAGAGAACTAAATTTCTAAGTTGTTTGTCACTCGGATTATTTTTGTCATGTGTATTTAAAGTTTAAGCAGTGACTTGGTAAGGTTAAATGTTTTCATTTGCACAATGGGACTAATAATACTCACCTTAGCCTAATGCTAAGGTTACAGCAAGTTAGTCATAAATCCAAAAGCAGAACCCAGGAATCTTAATGTCTCAAGCTTCGAAGCTCAATAGTGTTTTTGACAAAAGTCTTGCACCTTAGACACAGTGTACTTCTTTCCGTTGGTAGCTGTTGTAACAAATGAAGCAAATATAAACCAGGATATATTTATATTATAGAAGCACTCTGCTCCAGAGCCTCATTCAGGATCTACCTCTGTCATGAGACCTTCCTGCCCATTGGGTCTATAGTGGGTCCTCTCACTCTGAGTTCCTACAACACACTGCCAACTTTAACTCTTAAATATGGTCTCTAGGTATCTGTCTCATCTGTGTCCTAAGTTAAATTATAACCTCTCGGAGGGCTGAGGACCTCCCAAAGATCTCAGAATAATGAACATTGTGCAAGGCACAGAAGGAGATGCATCAAAGTGCTTGTATAGAAACACAGATATATTTATTTTGTTTTTTCTTTTTTTTTAAGATGGAGTCCCACTCTGTTGCTCAGGTTGGAGTGCAATGGTACCATCTTGGCTCTATGCAACCTCTCTCCCAAGCAATTCTCCCGCCTCAGCCTCATGAGTAGCTGAAATTACAGGCACATGCTACTGCACCCAGCTAATTTTTCTATGTTTAGTGGAAACAAGGTTTTGCCATGTTGGCCAGTCTGGTATCAAACTCCTGGCCTCAAGTGATCCACCAGCATCAGACTCCCAAAGTGCTGGGATTATAAGGTGTGAGACACTACACCTTGCCAGAAACACAGATATATTTGAAACTGGCATTTCTAGCTAGTACTAAATATTTGAGGCCTTCAGACCTCAATCTGTGATATAAAGTATTAATTTTCTTCTATTGAAATATCCCATTGCAAATAGAAGTCCCACAAGACAAGGAGTTTTACTGAAACTGGACAAACCAGACGCCAGGATAGTTAGATTTATTTTTTGGACCATGAGTCTGGCCCCCAGGGAAAAAAGAAACTTGTCAATTTCACTTTTTTGCTTGGATCAGAAGATTAAGCCTGGCAGAAAGAAACTGTTTGGGACTAGAGGTTCTCTGGAATTTCTAACCTTCTCTGGGCTTGGGAGGAGTTGGGAGAAGAAAATGCATCATCTGAATGATGGCCATGGTTACAACAGGCCTCGTATGCCAACCAGAGGGAAAGAAAATACTTGCTGAGCAAAGTAACTGGAAAGCAGTTGCTCATAGTTTGAACTAAGCTACATGATTGAAATCCAGAATAATGTAGATTTTTGGACCAGTGAACACTTGGAAATGAACTTTCTGGCTGGAAAGCAGCATTTGGTGTTAGGAATGGAAAGGGCTATTGCAAGGCTTTTTCCCTGGGCACTTTGTGCTGCCAGATACTCAGGGCCATCTGAAGCATATTTACTTACTCCAGCAGATTTCTTAATAGTTCCAGCAACAGGAAGGAGTTGACCAGCTTGAAAGGTGCGTGTAGCCAGGTGGCAGAGTCAAGAAAAGCCTGTCACGCTGCTGAGGCTGATGGTAACGGTTCCATCCTGTTGAGCCCCTGGAGGGTGAACACTTAGGAGGATACATGGATAGTGATGTAAGTGCTGCACAGGGCACAGTACTGGACAAGTGTCACAAGTCCAGCTGGGCAAACTCCCAGGATGCCAGATCACAAGGGCTGTTTCCAGGAAGGGCTGACCCCTGCTGTTTACATCCTCTTCCCCTGAAGCTCAGTGGAGCTCACTAGTCTCAGTTACCTTGTAGGCCCCTGAAGAAATTCCCAATTAGCACACAGGAATGTCCAACCCTATGGGATTTGAGACTGGAGATTGCAGCCATCACATGACGGAAGCAGAATTTGACTCCAGAAACCTTGCCTTGAATCTCGGCTGTGTCATTTACCAGCAAAACGAGGCCAGGCAAGTCACAATCTTATGGAGTGTTCACTTATCTACCTGTAAAATAAGGATGTCTGATCTATTTCATAGGATTGTTCTGAGGATAAAATGAGATGAGGCATTTGTCTTATCCTCTTCAAATGCCATATTGTGATACTCTTCACTTAATTATTCTAAGGGCTTTAAAGACTCCATCTCCTTTAATCTTGACCACAACTCGTGGCAGGGGGATACTATTTTCATCCCCATTTTACAGAGGGAAAACCAGGACCCCAGATAAGTAAAGAGACTTGTTCAAGATTATACCACTAGGTGGCAAACCTAGCAGATTTGAACCCTGCTGTCCAGCTCCAGAGTGTGTCTGACCAAGGCACTCATTTCCAGCAGAGGAGAAGATAGATCGTTCTTTTAGAAGTGCTCTTCATTTTTGTTTGGAGAACCACAAGTACTTTGTTATTGTTCCAGTGTCCAGTCTGGGCTCTCTTGTCTGAGGGCACTGGGGAGAGGGGAAGTTGTTTAAGCAGGGAATGGTGCGTTCAGGTTTGCTGATTAAAAGGGTGACTGGCTTCTAAATAGAGAATAGACACACTGGCTGCCGTGTGGAGGCTGGATGGGGCCAGTGTGGGGAGAGGGCAAAGCTGAATTAGGAGTCAGGTGGGAAGCAGGTTCATGGAATCCAGGAGAGAAGCCCTGAGGGAGCAGGGCTAATCCTAGGACCTCTCAGACCAAATAGGGAGGAGGAGTGCAGCAATGATGCTTTTAATCAAATTACAGAAAAGAATCCCTCCCTGCGAAGTGGCCCATACTGATGGAATTAAGCACTAAATGTTATTCTCCACATAAGAAGATAGCGCTGGGTTTCATTTTGCCCCCCTCATCCCTGTGATTACCTGGAGATGTCAGTCTCATTGAAGGCAGCAGAGCAGCTTGCTCTGTTGAGGAGCCAGTGTGATGCAGCTGTGACCATTCCCAAGATGGCCCTCTAGGGGTGGCCCTGGGCAGAGCCTCCCCAACATCTGACTGAAGCTCTGCTGAGCTGTCCTCTCCAAGTGGGTTGGGCACCCGGGAGAGATCTCCCTCCCTTTCCTACCCCATCTCTGGGATCTCTGCATCCTCAGACTACCTCCTCCTCATCCATGCTTTTCCTCCTCTCCCATCAGGGGACCAGGGCCTCTCCCAGAGCTGCTGGGCCATAGAGAGGCCGCCCCTTTCCCTCCAGTTCAGAGCGGGAAGCTAGGATGCCTAAGTTCCAATCCTGGATCACACGGACCATAGAGCTGGGATACCGGGTGTGTGTGTGTGTGTGTGTGTGTGTGTGTGTAGGGGGTTATCATACCCAAGAGGCCCTCCCCTGCCGCCAATGCCCAGCACACGCTTCACCTTGTCCCTTGCGACTTCTCCCAGGGCAGCCGCTGTGAGACTCAGGAAGAGACTTTTTAGGGAGAGTCTTTGAAAGAAATGGGCGCTCCCATTCCCCACTTCAACGCCACAGCCCAACCTGTGAGGGTTACCCGGCAACTTCCCAGTTGCTCTTGGTGTTGCTGCAGCAGGGAGGCGGATCTCTCGGCGCCTTTGTGTCACAGCATTCTCATCTGGTAAATGGGGCCAGGAGTATTTTCCCTGACTACTTCACGGCGTTGTTGGGACAATCACGAACTTGAGCTAAGAAATATACCTGCGTAAGGCATTATGATCAGCCGGGTGAGCATTCTGGTGAGTATCTGCTGCTGGGGCTCTCTCAGGCTTCCTCGGGCAGGAGTGCCAAGAGAAAGTTACTCTTTTTTTTTTTTTTTTTTGAGACGGAGTTTCGCTCTTGTTACCCAGGCTGGAGTGCAATGGCACGATCTCGGCTCACCGCAACCTCCGCCCCCTGGGTTCAGGCAATTCTCCTGCCTCAGCCTCCTGAGTAGCTGGGATTACAGGCACGCGCTACTGTGCCCAGCTAATTTTTTTTGTAATTTTAAGTAGAGACGGGGTTTCACCATGTTGACCAGGTTGGTCTCGATCTGCCGACCTCGTGATCCACCCGCCTCGGCCTCCCAAAGTGCTGGGATTACAGGCTTGAGCCACCGCGCCCGGCCCGAAAGTTACTCTTTATCCGAGTCTCTCCCTGGGCCCACTCCGGCAGAGCTCCTCGGAGAGGGTTGACAACGACCCGCTCCTCTTGCCCCTCTTCCATTGGCTTTCACCTGCCACAGGGTCGGCTGCTACAGGCCTCTTAGCCCGTCAATCAGGCCCGCCGAGCTCCGCCCCGCCCCTCCCGTGGGTTTATAACGGGAATTCCCATGGCCCGGGCTCAGGCGTCCAACCTGCTGCTGCCTTGGCCCCGCCGAGCGGAGCTAGCGCCGCGCGCAGAGCACACGCTCGCGCTCCACCTCCCCTCCTGAGCTGTTCATGACTGTGTCTCCTGATCGCAGCCTCTGCGAGCCACCGCCGCAGAACCCCTGCCCACTTCCCGCGGCCGCGAGGACCCCGAGCGAAGGAAGGCAGGAAGGGAGGCGTGCTGTGCACCCCGAGGAGCCCGCGATCTCCGCTCGCTGCCGGCTGCCCGGCCCGGCAGGCACCATGCTGCCCGCGCGCTGCGCCCGCCTGCTCACGCCCCACTTGCTGCTGGTGTTGGTGCATCTGTCCCCGGCTCACGGCCACCGCACCACAGGCCCCAGGGTAAGTGCGCCCCCAGCTGTGCGCCCACCTGCGGAGGGAGAGGAGGTCGCTTCGCCCCTCGTCCCTGGGGGCAAGAGGAGAGGGAAGAGAGATGTCAAAGACCTGTTGTCTTCTGTCTACTACCAGGTCCCCTACGGGCTTCATTGGTGAAGTTGCTGAAATATATATATTTTTCTTCCATTGGCGCCGCTCCCCACTCCATTTCCTGCAGCACCATCCCACCCCCGCCCCTGAACTGTCACTGGTGGGTTTTCTCTGCAATCTCTTCTCCCCAGCATTTTGCTCAAGACCCTCAGAGGTGCTTCCTGCGTCGGAGAGAAGCTCGCTCTCGGCTCCTGTAGGGCTTCCCTGTGGTTTCACGCTGCGCCCGGTCCAGCCTGCTGGCGTTGTTGGCAGGAAGGGGGGGGGTGCAGCTCTGCTTGGAGAGTTTTAGGTTACCCGCGAGCCACACAAGGACCTTGTGTTGTTGTTTTAAAAAGGGATCACTGCTAGTAAAACCCACAGCAGATAATTTTAATGTCCCCTCCTGCCGGGCAGGCTCTGGAAGAGGGTCAGAGGTGGGGTACTGTAAAGAGGTGGGAGGGGAGAGTTGCGCAATGTTCAGGGGTCTCTTCCCCTGGGTTCAGTGCTGGGAGGTTAAATTACTTGTTGAACCTTGGTCTGATTGGAGTTTCTGAACGATATGAAACCTGCCAATTCTGTGCGCAGGACAGACTGTCCAGGGCATTGTAAAATCTCCTGGAACCGACAGCACTGTGTTCATTTCTGGTCTAGATTATCCGCCTCTCCCCCGCCCGCCAACTGGTCTAATAAAGAATTTCACTGCCTTAAAACATGTACTGTTAAACCACCTAGTGGTTCTTTTGACCAAACTTAATCCGGGCAATCTCTGGCCAAGCATCGGTTATGTCAGGGCAATTGCCTCTTAACTGGCAGCCTGAGAGTCCATGTAGCAAGGATCTTTGTGAAAACAAGATTGGTTCAACCAACTTGTGCTTCCTTTCCTGACCATCCTTGGGCCTAGCCCTGTACCACCTGTTCAGATTGCAGGTTGTTTATTCATAGCTTTTGCTATATGAGAATCCTCTTTATAGCAGTCCTGTGTAGAGGAAAAGCCTTGCAATGCTTGACAAATCTTAATGACTGCCCAGATGCTGGGTTGATTACATCCAAGCCCAGCTATCACTGTGAGATCAGATTTGCAGCCACTTAGGAAAGAAAAGTGTTTGTCCCCGTGTTGGGCCAGCCCTTGCTTTTATGACCAGATGTGCAACAGCAGCAGTTAAAGTGTGGCAGATTAGATCCAGGGCGTGTCATAAATCCTCGACAGCAGGCATTCCCAAAGCTGGGGCAAGTAAGGGCTCCGGGAGTGACTTTTATGGATGCAGATGAGGATGCCTTTTAAATGAAGCTGCTTGGTTTGATATTAGGACTCGGAGCTCTTAAACTCTGAGGTCAGGTGAGCCATGCGTTCCCTCCAATAATTAGGAACAGTCAAGACAGAGATGCAGACCAGAGCACCCCGACTGAAATCTGGATGGCCGCCCACAGGAGGGTCGAAAGGAGAGAGGCCCTGAGACAAATGGTGGGGGGCTCGTTTGTTTGCTGCTGGGCTTGTCTAGAGTCTCAAGCCATATGGCTCTCCTTCCTGGCCTCCTGGAATCAGAGGAAGCAACTTTTAGGGGAAAGCTAGGGACTTGAGGGGAAAACAGGCACTGTGGTTAGGTTCCTTTCAGCTCCTTTAGTTTATTAATTTGATAGAAGTGATGGACTTTAAGCAGGTATTGCAAATAGGCTGGTGTATGTCCCAGCTGCTGCACTTTCTCTCTCTCCCTCTTTTTTCCCCTCTTTCTCTCTCTCACTCCAATAAACACACACGTACAAACACACACACATTGCACCCCCTGCATCTTGGTGTGTTTAGAAAGTACCAAGGGGAAGATGCTGTCTCTAGCATGGGAGCATGTGGTTACCTGGTTGTGTTTATTGATAACAATATGAACATTTGGGCTGGGCGCTTTTCATGATCTCTTATTTGAACGGGAACAAGAAGGTGGGTCTTTTTAAAGCAATTTTGCAGACAACCAAGTGAGACTCAGAGTGGCTAGTCGACTTGCCTGAACTTCCAGTTTATGTGGATTGAAAGGCTGCGTGCAGCTGTAGCTAGTGTTCATCCAACGAGCGATGCCCTTTCTGTTAAAGCAGGAGATGGCTTGATGAGAAATACAGAATCAGGCGAGTCTGCAGAGACATTATTAATATGTTTTGGTGTCTGTATCACAGGGAAATGATTGAATTTCAACTTATCCGCAAAGACTCCAGTTCTTTTCTATGGCGTATTGGTGGCTCTAAAAGTGTGGCTCTGGTTGAGAGCGGCGTCATCGGAAGAGCAGAAACATCTGGCCCTGTGGGCGCTCCTAAGTCTCTTCTGTTAATCTTTTGAGTGACAGAGGCTTAAGGATTGGCATCTTTTCCAGCTGGCTTTCTAGGAAACCAGGAGCATGCCCTTTCAGTTTGACTTTATCTGGCTCACTAATTGAGCTCCCCCGAGGCCCAGACCTCAGTCCTTGCCCCCTTATTTGCTTCCTGCCTTCCTTCATAAAATTCCTGACATTGGTTTGACTCTGAAACCAGCAGCTATCAAGTATCAGATTGGAGGCTATTATGTAGGAAGCACCTGATTTTGGGGTCTCTCAACTCTAAGCGGCTGCTTGGCTACCTGGGACGTTGCTCAGGATTCTTTTAATTACTGAGGAGGCAGCCGTTTCTTTAATCCTGCACAATTTACTGAAAATGTTTCAGGGGAGGATGGCATGGGGGAGGGCCTCCCCCTGGCTGATGGCATCTGGCCCATGGTCAAGCCAACTGCTTGTCTTTGTTTAATTCTGTGTCTGCCTTGAAGATGGAAAGCTGGATGAAGGCAGGAAAGGTTTCTGTCTCGTCCAGGGATGTATCCTCAGAGCTCAGCATGGGGCCAGACCCCTGTAAAGATTTACTTCGCTGATGTTGGTGAAATGAACAAATAAATGCAGATCATGTTGTTTAAGAGTGATCGCAGGTTCCACTTTGACTGGAAGCAGGAACTAGATTTAAGAAGTGTGAGAAATAGGAGATGATGCAAAGATTAAAAGGTCTGAGTCAGAAATGGATTTTTATTTTTTAAATCTGACAGTAACATTGTATGTATTTATCTCATGCAACATGATATTTTTGAAATATATATACATTAAATCTAGCTAATCAATGATTGCTTTACCTCATGTAATTATCTTTTTTGTGGCGAGAGCAGTTAACATCCACTCTTTGCATTTTTCAAGGATACAATAACTTGTCATTAACTATAGTCACTTTGCTATTCAATAAATCTCTTGAAGTTATTACTCCTCTCTAACTATAGTTACGTACCCTTTGACCAACCTCTCTCCTTCCCCTCTCCCCTCTTCCTTCCCCAGGCTTTGGTAACCACTGTTCTACCTTCTACTTCTATGAGACCAGTTTTTTTAGATTCCACATATGAGTGAGATCACACAGTGTCTGTCTTTCTGTGCCTGGCTTATATTATTTAATGTCCTCTAGGTTCATCCACATTGTTGCAAATGACAGGACTTCATTCTTTTCTATGGCTGAATAGTATTCCTTGTGTATATATTCCATATTTTCTCTATCCTTTCATCCACTGATGGACACACCTAGATTGATTTTATCTCTTGGTTATTGTGAACAATGCTGCAATAAACATGGGAGAGCAGATATTTCTTCAACATACTGATTTCATTTCCTTTGGATAAATGTCCAGCAGTGAGATTGCTGGGTCATATGCTAGTTCTGTTTTTAATTTTTTGAGGAACGTTTTTGCTGTTTCTCATAATGGCTGTACTAATTTACATTCCCAACAACAGTGTGTTAAGGACCCCCTTTTCTCCATATCCTTGCCAGCACTCGTTTTTCGTCTTTTTGATAATAAATAGCCATTGTAACTGGAGTGAGGTGGTATCTCATTGTGGTTTGACTGTATTTCCCTGATGATGAGTGATGCTGAACAGTTTTGAATATACCTATTGGCCATTTGTATGCCTTCTTTCAAGAAATGCCTATTCAGGTCTTTTGCCCATTTTTTCATTGGATTTTTTTTTTTTTTTTTGCTATTGAGTGATTTGAGTTCTCTGTGTATTTTGCATATTAACTCCTTATCAGATACATAGTTTATGAATATGTTGTCCCATTCTCTAGGTTATCTCTTTACTTGGTTGTTTTCCTTGCTTGAGGAAGCATTTTAGTTTGATATAATTTCATCTGTCTATCTTTGCTTTTGTTGCGTGTGCTTTTGAGGTCCCCAAACCAATGTCGTGGAGCTTTCCTTTTATGTTTTCTTTTAATAGTGTCATAGTTCAGGATCTTGCATTTAGGTCTTTAATTCATTTGATTGAATGATTTTTGTATTTGGTGAGAAATAAGGGTCTAGTTTCATTCTTCTGCATGTGGTTATCCAGTTTTCCTAATACCAATGATTGAAGATTGTCCTTTCCCGATTG